GTCACACTCAAATTCGAACAAAAATCATAAATACAAAATTCGTTGAAGTATTTGTTTGTTTAAAGAGGTATAGAATTTCTATGCATCAGCCAAATGATTAATCTTCTTGTACATTAGCTAGTCGATAAGCACAATTTAATCCTGAGACCATACCCAACTCTTATTTCAAAGATCCTTAGTATATATAGACTTTTATTCTCCATTTTTCGAAAGATTAAAAAACGAGACCTCTAATTCTAACATCAACTAATGTAGGTTGATACAAATCAAGTACGAAAATTTATAATATACTTCAAGAATCTCTTACACCCTAGACTTACCTCGTGTACAAGTGTTGCTCCACATCAATTTGTTATCGTCATATGTTGACGATATGTGATATAGATCATTATGTAAAGTGAACTAATTTGATCGTTGAAGTTAAAATAAACCACTTCATTCGTCCATCCTCAAGGATAGATCACACTATCTGACGTCTATTCTACATATTCTTTATGACCGAACAAAATTTTTAAGTCTATTATACACAATTATTCAACACCAATCAGATCCCATATTCTCATATTGATCTAAAGTTGTTGAAAAAGTTCATAATTTAAAAAACATATATATTTTTTAATTTCAGATTTGATGTGTACGTTTCTAACCAGCTTACTGAATCAAATCAATGAAGTCAAAGGGATATTGCAATATTTTAATCCCCACTTTTTCTGGTTAATGTTTGAATTGTATTTAGGGTTATATTACATGTATCGAATTTTTTAATCAAATTTTTTACACCCTACTCACAATAGGAAGTGGGGGCCACGGGTCAACATTATTTAATACATATGGGGGCCGCACCTCATGTGAGAGGAGGGACACCATTCCTCTGTCCAAGAGACTTTTTCCCTTTATTTATTAATGTAGGGTATAAATGTACAAATTGACTATTCTATTGAATTTGTCAAGTTTTTTGCAGGTGGCCTTTTTAATTCATGCATTCCAACTTGTTGGTTCGTTGATATAAATCATTCCATTTTAATAAGAATAATGTTATCAATCATCAATGGGTGTTTTGACTTTATATTTAAATGAACTTATCATATCTAATTATCAGCTAGATTGGACAGTTAAAAAAAATATAGAGATGACACATGTCGAAACATGATTGGACAGTTTTAAAAAAAAAAAAAATCACAACACCCAATTATTATCTATCAGATCATCTTATCCATCCATCACTATCATTAAATCTGTCAAATGAGCATTATTCAAGTAAAATTTAGATTCATTCGACAATTTTAAAAACACCGACGACTATGAAAAAGGTTGAGCACATTATATTCCTTTAGCTTGCTTCACATTCTCCCAATCCCGTGATCGAGGGTGTGTATATAAATGTTGCCTAGTAATTGTGCAATTTTCAATTTTTGTGTGTGTGACAAACTTTTCATAGATCATTAAACAATTAACAAAAGTGTGAATGTATAAATAAATAAAATTGTAAATTCTACGGAATTTAGTAATTAAATAATATTTGACTTTAAATTATAATCAACCTATAATTTTACCCAAACAGCCACTTAATTACAAGCTTACACAATTTGACAAGATTTATTCAACGTATTATTTGTCTTCTCTTTTAAGCAGTCCACACGCTTCCTCCAAATACTCTTCTCTTTCTCTTTCTCTCTCTCTCTCTTTGAATGATCAAAATTCGTCTAACATCCTATAATTATCAAATCCGTCCGTTTATTATCTGTAATCTCCTTCCCCCCCTCTACAGCCTCCTCAACTTTCTCTCTCCAGCACAATCCATGGGAAGAATAACGACAATCAGAGACATCCTAGGAGTTATCAAAGATAAGGTATCCTTGTCCCAAGCAGCCCTACTCTCAAAATCCAACTCTTCACTTTCTCTCCGCCTAGCCATAGTCCGTGCCACCACCCATGCGCCACCAGGTCCGCCCGATGACCACCACCTCTCTGCTATCCTATCTTTTGGAAACAGCTCACGCGCCACCTCCTCGGCTGTCATCACCGCACTCATGGACCGCCTGAACTCGACTAGCAACTGTTATGTCGCCTTCAAGTGTCTTTTAATTATTCACCACATCATTAAGCGTGGACCCGTCATACTTCAAGACCAGCTTTCAGTTTTTCCGGCCTACGGTGGACATAATTATCTGAAACTCACAGCCTTTCGGGACTGCGCCACCGCCGGAACATGGGCTATCTCTGCATGGGTGAGATGGTATGCGCGTTACTTGGAAACCCTACTTTTCACTTCTAGGGTTTTGGGTTATTTCCTCTGTTCATCATCAAACAGCAAGATTAAAGACAGTCAAGAAGGAAGAATCCCATCTTTCTTGACCGTTGACTTGATCAAGGATGTAGATTCTCTGATTGGACTGACAGAAGAAATGTGCAAAGCACCTGATCCTACCCAAGTCGAAGGCAACATTTTATTAAACGAGGTCATGAGATTATTGGGAGAAGATTATTTATCAGCAGTTAATGAAATTTTTTTAAGATTCGGTGAGTTCAAGAAGAGACTGAGTTGCCAGAGTTTTGGTGACTCAGTTGAGTTAATGCATGCATTGAAGAAGCTAGAAAATTGTAAAGATAGAATGGGGATTCTTTTTGGCATTAAGATTAAGAAACCTTCAATGGATATGTTTTGGGGTTTGAATGAAGAGTTGAAAAACGAAATTGAGGTGTTGAAGGTGCACAAAGAAGGTGGGAGATCGTGAGTTTGAGGAGAGAAAACGAAAGTGAGTCCACTCGGTTAGGAGAGCGAGTTTTGAAGTCTGCTGACTCGGTGCAATTTCAATCAGGGAGATTTGACACAAATTTCCAATCCGTTGAATCGAAATTATTATATGATTTTTTATGAAAAAATATGTAAATTAAAATATAATGAGGAGAGTGGATAATATTTTAGTTTAAGCATTTATATCTCCTTTTGTCAACATATAGGACCACTTCAGAGGCTTTAGATTAGCATTACTTTATCTCTATCCATATAAGAAAGAAATATTAGAGCATGTTTGGTATCGAATGATTGAGAAGTCTATGCATTATCATGAACGAAATTTATATTTTTTCCTTTTTTTAATATTGTTTTCTTTATTTATAATCCTCTCTTGCAACCACGATATAATTGTCTTATTT